GCCAGTTTCTCCTATTACGGCCCACGGTATCCGGAAGGAACAAAGAAGTATGACAACATTGGAAGCTTCTTCCGTACAGGATTTGCTCAAACACATAATCTGTCTGCTGATTTTGGAGCGAAGAATGTTGGTTTCCGCGTGAGCGGATCATTATTTGATCAGAAAGGTGTTGTACCCACGAACGATTACAAAAAGTACAACGTCCGACTGACCAATACTACTAAAATTGGAAAGTATGTAGAGTTCACTCCTTCTTTCCAATACATCGTTACTGAAAATGACAAACCTATCCGCAGTGCAGGTGGATATCTGTTAGGTTTATATATCTGGCCTTCAAACAGGGACATCAAGAGGTTTGAAGACGAGAATGGCAACAAAGTGTCTGCTTTCTCAGCCGATCCTTATGCTGAAACAGACAACCCATTATACAACGTAAACCGTAACCGTGGTTATGACAAGACCAACAGGTATATAGTTTCGGGTGGTGTTAACATCAACCCGTTCGACTGGTTGAGCATTTCCGGACGTTTTGGATATGACCATTATGAAAGTGAAGGTTATACTTTCTACCATCCGTTGTCAAACCTGACATCCCGCACACAATTAGGTGCACTTGACAATTATTGGAGAAGGTACAATGGATACAACCACACAATTACAGCGACTGCAAAGAAAACAGTAGGTAAGTTTTCAGCTCGTTTAATGGTGGGTACGATGTGGCAGGATTACAAAACCGAAATGTTTGCCATTTATGGTACAGGCCTTGTTGACTCGTTTGCTCAAAACAAATTATGGAAGAATGGCCAGGTTGTTACTGATGAAAATTTCGGTACGACAGTTGGCTCGTATAAAGACAGCAGCATCACCCGTGTGAATACCCGCCAAAGATTGCTTCGCAATAATGCAGGTCAGTACAACGAGTATGTAAATCGCCAGATTGCCTATTTTGGTGAGGCTGCGTTAAGCTATAACAACTACATTTTCCTTAGCTATACACGCCGTTATGAAGCTGCGTCTGTTTTTCCAAAAGAGTTCCGGAATTACAATTATCCGGGATTTAGTTTAAGCGCCATCATGTCTGACATCATTCCGAAGATAAAGGGCAAAGTGATTAACTACTGGAAACTACGAACCTCACTCGCTCAAACGGCAAGGTTGGCGAATCCTTATTCCAACCAGTCAGTGTTCGTTAATAATTTCACAAGTAGTAATGTTGGTCTGATTTACTCGTACGGTTTTGACAATAACAACCCGTTCCTGAGTCCTGAAAGACAAAAGACTTACGAAATCGGAACAGAAGTACGCCTCTTCAACGGTTTGCTTGGAGTAGAT